TCTTCATCCTCTATATTCCTCTATGGATTCAGCGGGAGCATGTCACTCGGGTCGTTCACTGAAGAAATGGCGCAGGTCGTTCACTGATGTTCACTGAAGAAATGGCGCTGTTGTTTTGAGACATCGAAAGAATACCCTGGGGCTCCAGTCGTACCTCCTCAGGTTCGGTATGACTGGAGCCTCCTGGCACCTACCCCTGTCCCACCTTTTGCAGGTGGTGACTGGAGTTTTAGGGATATGCAGATATGCAACATTGCAACCCAAGAGAGGTTAAGTGACCTTATAGGACCTACTGGGGTACCTATGGGATAGTCTATGGGGTTCTTCAACCTCTGTTGGACATTCCACCTTCGGATGAGGAAATCTCTTAGATCCAGGTTTCTGCAGGGCACTTCTCGTGCTTGGAAACAAGTGATGGCATTGTGTGCAACCCTCGCCTGGTAAAGACTAGTACTACATGTGGTTTCAGAGTAGATGGCACTGGCACACCAAGATGTCTTGGACAGATGAGGGTCCATATAAACCAGCAAACTTGGGGTAACTTGTGCCATCAAACCTCTGAAACCGCTGTATGTCGAACCTCATGTCGTTGCAACTGGATCTGGCTTATCAGATGATGCAGATCGGCAGTCGGACCACGGAAAGACTTGCCGGAACTGGGACGTTGAGGTTATTTTCTTCAACGAAAGGCAAAGCCACTGTTGGTACGACCAGGCCAGTGCGCTGGCTTTGGTATGACCGAGGGCCGACACATCCCCCCCACCTTTGACGTCCGGAGTCCGGAAGAGCTTCAGGTGAGGTGGGCTTGGTCCTTAAAAACGAGGATGATGTCCATCAAAGAAAGGTCGGAGTTCCACCGGTTCATGTCAGCTTTTCTTTCCTTGGTGTTCCTGGATCACCTACTGTAAGACAGCAGCAGCAGCAGCAGCAGCATCCGTCTTGTCACTTCGATTCACCATCAAAGTGGAGCATGGCAAGGCTATGCGTTCGACTACCCGGCTACCCTCCTCTACAAAACACGTCATCTGCCACGAACCTTTTCCTGAAGGTTTTGTGTACTGCGTGATGTGTTCGTCTAAGGAAAGGCTTTTTCGCCTGGCCGACCGCCGGTGGCATTTGGACCGCGAGCCAATTGCCAGGCGCCGGACCTCGGCCGCTCGAGGGACGTGTGGTGTTCATCTTGGCAGAAACGCCGGAGTGGGCTTCTGGTGAAGATGTTTGAAGCAATATTTTAATATATATATATATATACGTAATACCCTAGAGGTTGCATATATGTTCGCATCACTGGCAATCCTGACTTCGGGTCGCCTGAAGGCTATTTTGTTGAATTGTTTTGGACTCCCGAGCTATGTGTCCAACATTGGGCAAGAAAGCCTTCTTTATGTGGATGTCATTGCAATCGCATGCACAAATGCCTTGCTTTCCGACGACACACAACTTCAATCTTGTACAAGTTGGTTTCAATCTATTTGCACTATGTTGCACTCTTTGGCCGCATCATGACAAATTACGTCTCAAACAAGATCTTGTCAAGCCAATTCCAGCGCCTGCTTGTAGTCCTGCTTGTATACACCAACTGATTACTATTTACTGTATATATTATATATGTATACCTTGAACCTGAGTGACCTCTAATTATTGTGGATTATCAACTACCCAATTAGTTATTTTTCCTGTCAAAACAGGGCTCTCTCAGGTTCTATAGGTATATATATATATAACGTGTATATATATATATAGCCTAGTTTTGAGTGGATGAAGCTTCCGCAGGTGGCGTTGGTCCCATCTACGATTGGCCCAAGCTGCTTCTGTGGGGCCTCCACTACCAGAAGATCATCTTCTTGGACGCCGATACACTGCCGATCACCCCAGGCGCCGGGTCGCGAGGTGACCAGGGGACACGGGGGAAGTGAAAGGTTCGGGTGCGAAGGACGAGCAAGAGGACCTGAACCGATAAGTGAAAGAGCCTGAAAGTGGATCACAGTAGTAAGACTGTGACGATAATTGTTGTGCCTTTGCTACATTCCGCTACAATTGTACTGTGGTTTTCAGGTTCTATGTTTAACTCACCTCGTGTATTACTATATGACCATACGTGTGATGTTCAGGAAGTGTGGGCATCAGACAAACAGCAGTTGAACTTGTTCAAATCCACTTTGTTGATGCTGGCCGGTGGGGAGTTGAGCAACAAGCACACAAGGACTATCCCAAACTGCACGTCAAAAGCTACACCATTTGTTTGGCTTCAAAGCATAGATCACCATTCCAAGACCAGTTATTTTTTCTGGTGTTGATTTTGGGTGGTGAAACGTTAACGACATGTCGGATGTGTTTCCGAATCAGACACCAATGACTATCAGCCAGGTGTAGTTCTGTGCTTGAACCAACTGCTTGCCAATCTGCCAGAAGACAGAAGTGTTAAGTAAGCGCCTAAAAATCGCTGTGGCTGGTGAGGTGTATTACCATGTGTTACTACATGTTACTACCAGGCCGCATGCAGGTGGCCATTTTTAAGCAACGTGGGCGGTACCAAATGATCCCAGAAACGTCACCAGTCATCGGAGTGCTGGCATCCATTTGGTCAATCCAAGAGAGGTAGGTGAAGTGACCTGAACGTTCGGACCGTAACCTGGAGTACCGAACTGGGATAGTCGAACGTTGGGGTTCTTCAACCTCTGTTGGATGTTTCGTTTCACATGTCGGGACGGAATATGTACGACTCTGTCAAGACTGAAGAAACGACCCAAATGTACGACAACTCGTTTTCCTTATTGAATGGATTCTCCTTTTGGGAAAATCCTTAAACAAAACAAAAAAACGCTGAATACGCTCACGGACTTCCAGAAAAAGCTCACCCATGTACCCGTTCGCTCAAGTTCGTTCGCGTTTGGGCCCCAGACGCCTTGGAGCGCTTGGCCTCGCCGCTGGGAACGCCTTCCGTCCACTTCGTGGCCGTGGGCTTCCACGAAGGCGACGGTCGGGTGCCGGTCGTCGGGACGTCCCGGCCGGGGCGAGATGGAGGAAGGAATGAGATGGATCGAGTGATCGCTGAGAAAAACACGGTCCTTTTTGTTCCAGGTATTTAAGGGACACCTTTTTTTGGACAGGGATATTGTTGAATCCATCATGAGAGAGTTCCCCTGGCCACAATTTTTGGCTACAGTGTTGGTCGCACCAACCCGAATTCGATGCATCCAAGTCTCCAGGAGTGGCCCGAACTTCTCTTCAAACCCACAACCACAACCACGATGCTGCTTATACTCTCCAAAGGCTCAGTAGAAACTGGTCACTGAGGGTGGTCTCTTCTTCCACTTCGGTTTACCTCAACCAGGCCGGGAGATCAACAACGGTGTTTTCGCGTTGCGGCCCTCCCAGCAGCTGCACCGCTGCTTGAGCCGTAGCGCAGCACCCCGGCGGAGCGGTCGGTGATCCTCCGCCTGAAGGGGGAAATAGGCTCGCTACTCGTAACAAAGGCATTCCTATAGTAACAAGGGCATCGCTTTCATGTTGATTCTGTGATGGTTCATTCCCACATTTTCCGGAGAGATGGATGCTGTTGTGGCTCCAAGTTGAACCAATCTTTGGCCATTTGTTTGGGGTGGGTGGAACTCTGGCAAAAAGAAAGCAACATGTGTATCAAAGTAATTGCATGCGAGTCAACAGGTGAGGATGACCTTGGATGAGGGTCCAACACCTACGGCTGTTCGTTTCTCGGCACTTGCTTCAAGTTGCTGTCACTTCAAACGACCTGCAAGGTCGACCCGAAGCAAAAGACCCGCTCTGCCACCCCGAAGCCGGTCACGAACGCCCCAAAAAGCCTCCATGACATGGAGGGACCTCCAAATCCGCTTGGAAGGGGATTGATTCGGGTCGTTGAACCCACCTGCGGGTCCACCAGTCCACCCGCGAACCGACCGCGCAGGAATAGGACAACATGGCTGCCATGACCGCCAGTTCATCGTCTTCCTGTCATCTCTTTTGCCTGTCTTGACAAGTATACGTGGCTTCGATCGTGACGCATGATCGAGATACGAAAAGGTGGGACGGCACGACCGCCGGATCCTCCGCCCGCCGGGCCCAGGAGGCTGGGACCTATTTCCGCGGCCCCTTCGCGGAGGAGTTCCGACGGCGTGGAGGCCGGCGCCCGAGCGGTGGTCGCACGGAGAGGGAGATGACCCGGGGTGGAGATGACGGGATGACCCGGTTCGATTTTCAGGGAAGAAGGGGCACCAGTCATGATTGTTCAAAAGAATTGAGTTCATCTTCAACCATTTTGGGGAAACCTTTCCTCCGGACCATCAATATGTCCTTCAAGAAGATTGGGCAGATGTGAACAAGATGAACCCTTGTTGGCCACTGAGTCTAAGGAAATTAATCTTTCGGGACGGTGTTCAGGAATTAGTCCACTTGAGACTTGACGTTTGGCTAGTTGTGCGGTAGATACCGTACATTTTGACCTATAAGTATATAACCAGAAACAACTCTGGAAAGAATCTCAGATGTTGACACTTGATGAATGGCATCAACATAGAACAAAAAACTAATTAGCTGGTCCAGCACGATGTCCGAGGCTCCTGCGTCTTTTTTTTCATCAACAGTCAACTCAGTCAACAGTCAACGACCCATCTGAATGGATATGGGGTGGATCGTGTGGATGATTCTTTGGTCCCCGAAAGCCAACGTCCACTCCCGCGTCAGATGCCCCACCGGCGTCAGATGACCCAGGGTCGATGTGTGTTGGGCAAGGCTTGGGCCGTAGAGGCCCATGACACTGGATCTGGAAAGGCACTCATGGAGGCAAAGGGTTTGCAGATGTCATGTCAACAGCAATAGGTTTAGCAGATACAATAGGTTGGGGCTCTCACTCACACTTCTTTTCGCGCCCGCGTACTACCAGCAAAGACACATTCAAGCACGTGACAGAACATGACATAACCTTGGTGTCCATCCGCAGGTTCTTGTTTTCTTCTTACATGCTGCCTCCTTCAGGCACGTGGATGGCTTTCCTGGATCTTTTTTGGCAGCATGAGGCCTTCCCTTGCAGTGGTGCCCAGCATGTGCTTGTGTCCCAGGCTGGACGTGGACGTTCTTTTCGTGCAACATTCTTTTCACTTTGCTCCTCGCTTGAGGGTTCTTGGTTCAACTGGATCCCCTATACTCCAACCCTCACTCCCACAGGTCTGATTTGAAAGGGTCACCAGGTCTCGAGACAAGCTGTTGGTGGATGCTGCTAGCTGGGTAGGTGACCTAGAGTCGACATAGAGTTGATGCGTGTTCACTTTTGGAAGGATGCTCTCAACAGACTTGTCCCTTGGAGTCTGTTGAAGCAGGAGTCAGGAGGCTACCTGCTTGGCCATCTCATTCCAGCTCCCACTTTCCCAAAAAGACTCATACTCCCTGGAGTAGTGGGAGCTGGAATCATCGTGGAAGTGGATGGCGTGGATGGCATGACCCCTCAGACGGCCAGGTTTCCTCTGCAAACAGGCGGTTCTCCGCTTCCTTGAGGGAGTGTATAGTCCGCTGGCATGACGGAATCTCAGCCCTAAACGCACGTCGGTGCCATGTTTGTTCCACCCGGTCGGTGCAAACTCTGCAGAAAAACTCTGCATCATGGACGACCGCAGCCAGTAGCCCACTAGCATCACTAGCTGAACCCTGAATCACTCCAGCTGGGGTCCCCAGTCTCATGTGCAATCAAAACGAATACCCATGTGAGGATTGAGCAAAATCTATGGTTTGGGTCAGCTTCACCCCCCCGCGGTTCACGGTTGGTTCAGACTGGAAAGACCCATGACCTTTTCCTTTCCCGGGTGTCCGATCACCATCGCCTGAGACGTTTGCAGGTGTTCAACTTCCCTGCCAGCCTGGGTTCCATCTTCCAGGCCGCTTGCTTGGGCGAGCAGAGATCGGTTGTGTGGGCGAGAGTCGGCGAAGTAGCTGTTCATTTTCGGTGAATGGTGGTTCAGAAGATGGGCTTTGAGCATTTGTTGACCACTCTTTGAGTGAAGACAGACTTATAACTTATTGGACAAGAGACATGGAAAAGACGTACATCAACAACCACTGTTTGGGCGACTGTGCCATTGATTTTGATACTACTGGAACCGAAAGTTTTTAGGTTATCAGACGGCTTGTCTTGCCTCAAAATCCCAATGTCCCACCACCCCACTTGACCCTGAAAGATGGCTTACATGACCAAAATCTCATGTGGCTCCATCTGGCTCAGCCGTTGTGGCGCAAATGATGTGGCTCAGCCTATATGTCCTTGTGACCTTGCCGGACCCCTTTTTGGGGGCACCGGTGTCACCCACCATATCACCCACCGTCCACACCGGCGATCCGTGCCCGGTGCCGCAACGTTTTTCTCTGCGCAGGTCCGAGACGCAAGGCGCGGTCGACGCTGGAGCAAGGGTGTGAGTGGTCCGAAACGAAGCATGGTCAAAAACAAGTGAGTGGAACACAGTTGACCATTTAGATGAGGCCAGTGGAACATGGTGTGCCGGTACACGCCTAGGCCGAACGAGCCAAATCCACCTCTTTGAATCCATATCGTGTGACTGTGTCGAGATGTGGACACCTACAAAAACAGATGACAAGACTTCGTGTGGGTCTCCTGCTAACGGTTTCTAGAGTTCTTTACCATACATCATGCTGCACTGACCAGTCAAAACCATGCTCAAACGCAATGGAGAGCTCAAGTTCACGTCCAGCGTTCCCTTCGCCCTTCAGCCTCCATTTTCATGCAGGAACCAAAGCAGCCCTCGCTTTGTGGCAGAGCAGTGGTCCAAGGCCATGCGCGGACGTTCGCATGCCGCATGCGTGGAACCTTTGCATGCATGGCGCCGTGCGCGGTGCGCAAAACCACACGCAAGCACACGCGAGGGGGAGTGACCAGAATTTGGATCGGACATTTGGATGAAGATATTCTGTAGTGACCTGAATCACAGAATATCAGGCAGAATCACCATGATTCATCCAGATTCTGCCTGATTTGAATCACTTTCTTCAAAATTCCAATGGAATACCTGAGGTACCTCAGGCAGTCGCTCCTAAGTATAAAGTATACCAGGACCCTGTCGGGGTGTCCTGGCTGGATTACCCCACACGTGTTACCCAAAAGGCTTCCTCCGCACCCCGACGGTCGGATGGTCCAGGTATACTTGCCAAGTGTCCAGCATTGCTGTTGCCACGACCCATTTGGGGACCCAACCGAAGGGTCGAATGGTTCGTTCCTTTCCGCCGAAGAGCGTGACGGAGGCCGACTCGCGGTGGAAGCACCGGCAGGTCTTGGTGGAGAGCAAGATCAATGGCGTTCAGATCCTTCACTGGGTGGGCCGTCAGAGGAGCGGCAGTCTGATGAGAGGGAGGAGAAAGAAGGGTGAAGATGGTGAAGATATGGAAGCGGTGTCAAATTTCATTCGTGTGGAAGTTCAGTAGCTAAGCAATGGAAGTTAGTGGATGAAGACACCAACATGTTGGAAGGCCACCATGAAGACATTTCTTGAGAACACCCGTTACGGCACTCCAACCGAAGCTGGTCACTGGTCACTCAAAATTGTTTCTACGCTCGCTCATTTGCTCAATATCATGAAGAAGTTTTACATTAACATTGGCTGTTTGGGGCTTTTGTTAGGTCTTTTTCAAGTTTTCTTTCCCTGTTTCCTCACCTGCCAGGTAAGGGTTATCAGATCTTTATCAGAGCTGTCCTCTCCTCCTCCTCCTCCTCCTCCTGACACTCTCTTGGTGGTTTTCAATATGGACCGTGGGTTTTCAGCCATCTCTATGATGTGAATGGTGGGGAAACCACAAGATAGACTCAGATAGACACTCTCTTGGTGGTTTTCAGCTTATATAATTTTCAGCAGGAGTAGATCATGCCAATGGTGGGGACTATGCTCCAAGTATCCCTACACCTCCGTTTTCGTGCCTCCTCAGGTTCGCTATGACTGGACATTTTCCTGGCACCCAGTATCTTCCCAGTCGTCCCCGATCCTGGCACCCAGTATCTTCACTCTCCGTAGGAAGCCCTGGCTCCATTGGGCGCCCCCAGCGCGCTCCGCGCTGGACCGGCTCTGGTGGCTCCAGCACGAGCGGATGTGCCGATGGACGCGGCCACGGCAGGAGCACCGCGGCGGCAAACAGGACCGGTGGAAGAGGAAGGTGACTGGGCCACCGGGGTGGAGGCTGTTTTCTTGGTTTCGGGGGAGGATCAGGGATAGTTTTTTTTAACCTTCTTTTTTCGGCATAGAACGTTCAGTTTGTTGGGATATGGATGGTTGAAAGGGGTCTTAAAGTCTGAAGGAATGGTTAGTGAGTCATGTGGTGTGATGAAGATCATGTAGTTTTTTTTTCAACTACTGGTGATGTGCAGTGGATGCTGGTTCCAAAGTGACTGATGTCATGCCGATTACAACTTCAGAGAGTGCTGGTAGATGATGTAGATGGCACAAGAGCCCAAAGGTGGTTTATCAGAACCCCTATCACACGTATCACAGATGGTGTTTGAACTCAGAACAGGCCATTTACCGTTCACCTGAACCTACTACTGTTTGGAGGATACGTTTCCCGCAGAACGGTGGGCCGACCACCAACCAGTCAACACGCAGGAGTTCACGATCCTCAAAGGACAGTCGGGGACAGAGTTGTTGTGCACCACATTCTTTACTCCCGAAAACTAACATAGACCCTGACTGTCTGGTCCCATGGAAGACTATTTTTCCTCTACCAACCAGGGGTTTTCAGGGTCCATGTTTGTCTTCCAGGGTGTATCATCTTCAATCCCTGTCCAGACTGGCACCCGAACTCACGGGTCACCACCTGAAAAAGTCGTCAAGCGCCATTTCGGAGATGTTTTTAGAGTCGGATGCTAGGAGGCAAACCAACAGAGGTTGAAGAACCCTATAGGCTATTCCATAGGTAGCCTGGTAGGGTCCTAGTTCAGGTCACTTAACCTCTGTTGGTAGTATTTATTGGTGCGAAGTCCTTGAACAACTGAGCATCCTACCGAGTGGCAGGTGCCGCCTCCATTGCCGACTCAAGGGCTGAAACCTGTGTGGTTGAGCTGGCAAACAGTGAGAGAGTGCGAGCGAGTGCAGGCGTCGTTTGGTATATGGACCATTGGCTTTGTTGCTTACTCATCGTGGTTACTACCATGGTTTTGATTTGATGACTTCGTTCAATCGTATTTGTCGAATTTGGTGGTCAATTCCTGAGTTTCAAAGTTTCAGAGTGTGAAATGTTCACCTGTTTTCAGGGGGATTGCTCATGACTTGTGTTCACAATCTGCATGGCAAGGGTTGGGATTGAACATGTTTCCGTGCTGCAAAGGAAGAGACTCTGTCAGAACTGTATGGCAATTCTCCCAATGTGAGCATGGATGAATCGTTTGACGAAGAAGTTGAGCTTGTTCAACAACTTGCTATCAACAGGGCATGAAAGAAACAAGCTACCAGCAAGACCTCCAAGGAGCTGTAGAAGCGGAGGAGCATCAGGGGTCTCAGATTCAAGCATTTATTTGTTTTATACAGAGGTTTTATGGTACAGGTTTTGTTTGCAATTCGCCTGTAGGAGACTCCATCGATGGCGAGTGCCCTGCAAAGAAAGGTCCATTTCGTGACATGTGGATGTTGTGTGCAGGTCGTACTTTCGGCTGAAGCACCTTCTGAACAAGGAGCATGTGCATAGCCCAATGCAAATGGTGCGAAGAAATGCAACAACTTTTAGTTGATTGATATGCGATTTCGTGCTGTTAGGCAGCAACCGGTCACATCTAGAAAGGAGATCAACATTTGCACACCCAGTAACCGAGTAACCAATGCGTTCGCACGAGTCATAGACCGATGGGTGCCCTGCAATAGACCAAGAGATGAGTGCCCTGAACCGTTCACTCTTTGGAACTCCGTAGGTTTTGACAAGATGTCGCCATGAACATAGGAGGCCTTGCCCTCTTCGCTCGGCCTTGACATAGGATGAGAGACAGACGTTTCAAACCCTTCCAAGTCCCACTTGCTTGAAAGAGAATCTCCCAAGTCAAGTAGAACCATGATCTATCCATGAAGTCAAGAAACATCCTTCTTTCTTCCGGACATCGAAACCTGGCAGGGAGTGTGTTTGAGCGTCGACCAATGCCTTCCATGGCCAATGGACTTGATCCGTCGTGCGTTGGATTGCCAAGCCACGGCCTCAGCACCAACGCGTTGAAAGCGACCGATGAGTAGTATGGGCCAGCCTGAAGAAAAGGTCCATTTGAGTAGTATAGCCTCAAATGATGTAAGGAGGAGGGAAACAGGGTTGGGTGTTTTCAGTTCCCAGATTGGTGTTTTCCCTTCCCGTGGTGTTTCCTTTTCCCAGATTGGTGTTTTCGGTTCCCGTGGTGTTTCTGGTTCCCAGGTCTTGGTGTTTCCAGTTCCTGGATTGGTGTTTTCCTTGCCCAGCTCCTGTGTTGGTGTTTTTGGTTCCCAGGTTTGGGTGTTTTCAGTCCTGGACAATGTGTTCCCTGCCCGGCTCCTGTGTTGGTGTGCCCTTTCACGTGTTTGTTTGTCAGCTTTCGTTTGAATTTCTGGCTACCATTGCCCACCGCTGGATTTGAAAGCACGTACTCGTGTCACACAATTAAACAGACAAAGAACAC